AAAGGCAAAGAACGCTGGAAAATCCAGGAAAGGGATTGAAGGGGGGAGGGCCAGCACAAGCCGGAGAAGATTTAGGGAGAAGATTGGACAGTTTGAAAGAAAGCCTGCTTGTTTCCAAAACCAAGAAAATGCACGGAGGATTAGTAAGGGTCTCGGGACAGTTGCTGCCCACTACATCCCCGAGGGCATATTATTTCTTCTCACCCAGATAAAACTTAACTTCTCCCACACGTGTGCCCTTTGGAATTCTTTCTTCGAAACAATGCAAGGACCCATTTTCTCTAGCAACACAAATAACACTTAACTTGCTCTCACTGTGTATCTAAACTATTTCTATATCACCTTAGTTAACCCTCACAACAACCCTAGGAAGTGAATGCTAGTATTATTATTCTCATTTTTCAGAAGAGGAACGAGACACAAAAGCAGTTAAACTTGCACAAGGTCACAGAGCTCATCAGCGGCGAATCAGGTGGTGTGGCCTCAGAGTTGCCTCTCTAAGCACCACACTGTCCCTCCTCTTCAAGCAAAGAAATGACGGATCTAAAATGAGGGACTGGGAAAAGGGAAAATTAATTGTAGTCCTTCCTCCTAGTGTGTTGTTCTCACCAGAGTGGAAATAAGCCAGATGCCGCTTCAAAGCCTGAATATCTTAATCTCCCCAACTGGTAAACGTTTATTTCAAATGTAAACTGATAAATTCACAGTAGCAATTAAAAACATCCAAGCTCTCCATTGTGCTACTATGTTGAAAACACTTTTTAAAAATATATATTTTATTGATTTTTTACAGAGAGGAAGGGAGAGGGATAGAGAGTTAGAAACGGCCCCATAGTGTAATGGTTAGCACTCTGGACTCTGAGAGTTAGAAACATCAATCAGCTGCCTCCTGCACACCCGCTACTAGGGATGTGCCTGCAATCAAGGTATATGCCCTTGGGTGGAATTGAACCTGGGACCCTTCAGTCTGCAGGCCAACACTCTATCCACTGAGCCAAACCGGTCAGGGCTGAAAACACTTTTGCAACTTTTCCCCTTAGCACATAGTGAGACCATAGCTATGGGTAAAAGGCGACTTGCAGAGGAGATGCTCACTACCCAAAGGAAAGCATAAAAATGTCCTCGACCAGAGAAGGGGGGGGGGTGCTGGAGAGAGGTCCTGTCTGCCTGCTTCAAGGTCTGAATACCAGGGTCCAACTCTGCACGCCTGGCTCCCAGGGCATGTGTGCACCATGACCGGCAGGGAGTGACAAGGATGCTCCGGATGCCACACTGATCCCCTGGGAGTGACAGGACATGTGGGTTGTAGGGAGGTTTCTCATTCACAGAATGACCCTGGACGAGTCATTTAACATCTGAACCTCAGTTTCCTGTCATAAATGAGAAAAGTGTATTTACCTCCCTTCTATAAAAGAATCATTGTGAAGGAAAACATGAAAAAACATAACCTTTTTAAAAGGCACACTTTAATGGACATGCAATGCTAATGTATTTTGCATCACAAGCAGCATTTGAATCTCATTTTTGTTCCAGGGGCTTGCTCCTGCCCCTTCTCCGCTTCTTAAATTCACAGAAAACACCTCACCCCACTTTTCTCCGTCTCAGTCTCCACTCCCTCTCCTAATTGCTCTAGGACCAATCTGAATAATAAATAGCACGTTAGGTCTGGGGCTTAGAAACTCAGGGCATTGGTAGAATCTAACAGACCAAAAACATGTCAGCCTGGCTGACATGGCTCAGTGGTTGAGCATCGACCTATGAACCAAGGGGTCACGGTTTGATTCCAGTCAGGACACATACCTGGGTTTTGGGATGGATTCCCAGGGTGGGGCATGCAGGAGGCAGCCAATCAATGATTCTCTCTCATCATTGATGTTTTTATTTCTCGCTCCCTCTCCCTTCCTCTCTGAAATCAATAAAATATGTATTTAATGTTTCAACCAAGACTTTAAAAGTTTATGAAAAAAACAATTACTATCAAAGTACAAATGAAACTAAAAATCAACTACCATATGATTCAGCAAGCCTAATTCTGGGTATTTATCTGAAGGAAATAAAATCTGGATCTTGACACTATGTCTGCACTGCCGTGTTCACTGTAGCATCGTTTGCAATAGCTGACATATGCATACCACCTAAATATCCAGACAGATGAATGGATAAAGAAAAGGTGGTGTGTCTATATACCATGGAATATTATTCAGCTTTAAGAAAAGAAGGAAATCCTATTATTCCTAACAACATGGATGAACCTGGAGGACATTATTGGTATACTAAACTGAGATAAGCCAGACACAGAAAGATAAACACTCTATGATCCCACTTATATATGGAATTTGAGTCAAAATCACAGAAGCAGAGAATAGAACAGTGGAAGTCAGGGGCTGGGAGATGGGAAAATGGGGCAATGTAGGTCAAAGGGTACTGGGGTAGGCAGTTAGACAGACAAGAGCAAAGACAATGGGCCAGGTACATATAAGGTCACCAGGTGGAAAGCTCCGGGTGCCTAGGAACAAGCAAAACTGTGAAAACAAGTACCTAGCCCCAAGGGTAACCTTTCCTCCCCTAGCATACCCCTGGTCATGCTGTTTAACCCCCTGACCTCCCATAGTGCTGGCCAGGCAGTTCTGATCTTCCCCTGACCTTTCCTCCCTTGGCATGTTGCTAGTCTTGTGGTAGATGCCCTGAGGGAAATGGATAAGGGGCCAGAGAATAGCCCTTAAGCACTAAGCCCCTAAGACATGAGGTTCTGAGCCACATCAGATACATCTAGGCCTCGGTTGTATTTCAGGTCCAGGCCCAGAAAAGCAGCAAATCCAGACAAGGGATGCCACGGCTGACATCAGATCCAGCTGCAATGACTAATGACCCTGGTGCCAACCAATCAGGAAGACCTCGACCCTGAAAGGACACACCTGGAGAGCTGATGAATATTCTATGGCAGCGGCCACCAACCATCAGACCTCAGGGACCACCAGTGGTCCACAGACCACCGGTTGGCGACCACTATTCTATGGAACCCTCCCCTGAGGCCTCAGATAATTTTATCCTCAAGGAAGAGGACCCAGTATGACTCTCACTAGGTAGCATGCCCACACCCCAATTTTGAGTTTCCCTTCTCTCTCACTTCTCTCTCTCTCCCCTCCCCTCCCCTCCTCTCTTCTCTCTCTCTCTCTCTCTCTCCTTCCTTCTCCCGTAAGCTCTAAGGGCCCCTTCTTTTGCCTCTGTAACTTGTTTCCTGAGCCCATTTCTTCTACGACTCACTTCTACTTCTGTGACTTTCTAAATAAGCTTTGCTTTATAGGTTGAGTCTTGGCTCTGAATTCTTTCTTAGCCAGAACTCAAGTACAGAGGTTGCTGAACCCAGGTCTGGTCTGACTCTATGGTGCTACTGTCGCCACCAACAGTACCAAGTGTTTCAGTTACGCAAGGTGAGAGTCCTGGGGATCTAATGCACAGAATGGTGGCTACAGTTCTCAATACTGTACTGTGTACTTGAAATCTGCTAAGAAGGTAGATCTTACATGTTCTCACCACACAAAAAAATAAAGAAAATGGTATGTGAAGTGGTGATCATTTCACAGGGTATATACATATATCAAAGCATCAAGATTTTACACCTTAAATATATACCATTCCGATGTGTCAATTATACCTCAATAAAGCTGAACTTTTAAAAAATCAACCACTAAAGCAATGACAGGAAACTGTAATGTCAAAGAGTATGACTAAAAGCCCAGAATTACGCTGCCACGGAACATGCCGGCTCACCTGAAATGGATATTTATTTTGACAGGGAATGACACCGTCATCATTCTTCACTACCTCCACACACTTTATTTTTGAGACATCAACAAATCCCTTTCTGTATTTTTTCTGTTGAAAGAAAGAAAAAAAAGAACGATTACAATCATAAGATATCAGAAAATGTGATTAATGGTAGTATTTGTTCATGAAATCACTGACTCAATATATTATAATTTCTTAAAATTATTCAAAACACTAACACTGTGAGAACTCTAATCAAAATAATTAAATCCTTTAATTTCTAAAGATGAAATGGTTCTGTTCTTGCCCCCCAAAAGCTCTGGAATAGAACAATGGACTCCCTCTCATAGTTGCCTTCCCATCTCAGACACGCATCTTAACTTTAACTTCTTTTTTTTTTTTATTCTTTACTAGAGGCCCGATGCACGGAGATTCATGCAAGAATGGGCCTTCCTTCCCCTGGCTGCCGGCACTGCCTTCGCTCCGGCCCGGAGGCACCTTTCCGCCTTCCCATGCTGCCCAGAGGCCTGGAGCGGCTGGGGCGGTGCGGAACGCCTGCGTCATCGCCATGCTGCCCACAGGCTTGTCAGCTTTGTTGGGCTAATTTGCATACTCGCTCCTGATCGGCTGTGTGGTGTTGCGGAGGTACGGTCAGTTTACATGTTTGTCTATTATTAGTGTAGATTGTTGAAAGTTTTACATGTCTCCTTTTTCTCCCATTGAGCTCTCCCTGTGTACTCCCGCTCCCCTTCTTCAACTTCTTGATGAGAGCCCCAAAAAGATAGCATCAATTACAGAAGCAAACTGTAGCCAGTTACCTGTCCCCTCCAGCACACAGAACCAGGAGGACGCAAGGTGGCCTTAGCACATCCACATAAAGCCTCCACTCAGACTCTCATTGAAGGTTCTACTTTCTCCCCTATTGCCCTCCCTCCCCCTGCACGGCAATTCTCCCTGCAGCAGACACCGAATGACATATCAAGACACCCCTCCCCACCAAAAAAAGCATTCACACCAACTGAGATTACTCACATGAGTAAGCTCACATTTGAGAATTTAGCCCAGGAAAAAATCCAAACGAGTACAAAATAGTATGTGCAAAGATAACTTGATATACTGTATCCATTAAAAATGTTGCAAATACAATGTAGAAATAAAGAATGTCCGCTGAATAATATTAACTGAGACATGCCACAGATAAAGCTGTATAAAGACTAAGGCTACTCAGGGGACGGGATGGGGGGTAGATATACAGAATAGAAGAAAAAATAGACAAATGAAGAAGTGTAGTATTGGGGGTAGCTCAGCCATTCCCTGGCCCCAGTCATTCAAAATTGCTTCATCTAATACTTTGAAATGCCCCTCTGGCCCCAATCTCTGGGCCCCCTACCCGCTCCCAGGAACCTGCTCAGCACCCTCACTGTCACCAAAGAACTTTCAGACCTGCCAACTGTCCCAGGCCACCAGCTCCCATCTGACTAGACTGCTCTGGAGGTCATTTCACCAGTACTTCTCCCGTCCCTTGCCCCCCCCTCCCTACTCCCC